CCAATTGCACCGACGACCTCGCCTACTGCATCTTGGGAGTTAGCTAGGGAGTGAAAGAAGGCCGCATGCCATGCAAGGAGCCGAATCCATTAAGAGGCCGCGATGGACGAATTACTACTAGCCGGAGCGGCATAGCATGCATGGTGTGGCAGAAGAGGAAAGTGAGTTCGCGCGCATCATGAACACTATCAGCTGCCGCGCGAGTGTCCGTGCCTTAGGAAGGCAGGGGAGCAGAGGATATGTGGTTTATGTTAGGTGCTGCAGAGCAGTGAGTCTAACCTTTCTCCCTATTTCCGGTCTGCTTAATTACGTTGCTTGATTATTGCATATATATTCAATATTGGATACTAACGTTTCTCCTTTATGGGACTGTGTATATGGGACTGTGTATTGTGGCACTACAGGGAGGCACTACGCAGTGCCTCGTTTTACAGGGCAGCTGGAAAGGGGGGCGCAACTTCCTGGGCAACTGTTCTCGGAGCGGTCAGCAGGTAAGTTGTTAGAGTCCTCGGAGTCCTCAAAGTCCTCGGAGTCCTCGGAGGACACGAACAGTGCATCCACTTAGCTTCTACGCAACTGCCTGCTTAGGCTACGAGCCGCCTTTCCGAAACGCTCTGACCTTACTAAACGCCCATAATGACGACACTCTACTAGGGCCGAACGGTAACAAAAATAAGCAATCAAAGCAAAGTATGAGAAAAAATGCAGTTTTATTAGCGGGGATGAGTAGATCTTTTTTGCCTCGTGCATCTCGTGCCTCGTGCGTTCGAGCGCGCTTTTGTGCCTCGGCTGGCTCGTATGTGAGATTTTGCGCCTCGGCTAGTCCGTCCGGGCTACGGGCAAGATATGAAAAGTCAATCGCTAACTTTATTTAATCCGTCGTATTTAAACATCGACTGTAATCGTGAAAAGGATATGGTTTGTACTTTTGGCCAGTTAAGATCTAGTAGTGTGCAGCTTAGCTCTCTTATGCGTATTTCCCCTTCGCGTTCGAATGCGTAAGGCATATTCCCGCCACATCGTCTGCTCCTCCGCGATCCGTTTGAAACGTGTGGGCAGCATTCGCGCTCGCAGCGAGCGCGGCACAGCTTTGCGTCCAAGTCACACAGGTCGTGCTATCTGAGATCAGTCATCTGGTGAGGCAAGCGACTTCGTTTGGCCTTCGTTTGTCTGTTTTTGCTCGCCGCCGGAGGCATCGCTCGCTCGCTGCTTCGACTCGCTACGCGCGCGCGTAATGTCCGTGCTTAGCATATTCGGCAAAAGCATATTTCGTGTTTTCCGTTGGAGAATATGAAAATAAACTTGCCATACTTGACGGTTCTGTTTAACTCGCTTGACAAGCATACGAAGGCTGTTAGCTAAGCTCAAGGCCGACGACTGTCGCCGCGCGCGTCGAACTGGCCCCGTTTCTGTGGCGAATTTCCTCTAACCTGGCGTTTGAGGTTACGCTGCCTCTTAAGCTGTAAACAAAGCGGAAGTAAGCAAATGCTGGTGTTACTGTCATATTTCCAGGTTGTATGAGCGCCACCTAGTGCGAAAGCAACGTTAACGCACGCAAGTCTTGCGAAAACGATAACCCTTTCGCGATCGACCCATTATCGACTCTTTTGATGAACGCGCTTCACGTCGAGCGCTTAAATTCATAGATTCAAGTATGATTTGCCTTAAATATGTATTTCCTTATAACGTTGGTGCCAGGTGATACGATACGGCGGACGGCTGCAGCAAGTCTACACGGCGGAACTGACAACGCTGAACCACAGGGACAGTGATACTGGCTTCGAACCGCACTAGCGCCGCACCTGTAGTCGTCGCGAACGTGGCTATGCTGTCCGCGCATAACAGCGTTCAATCATTGGCTGAGATTGGTAATGGCGGAACCGCCGCCATTCCGGCTGATGACAACAGTGGCTTGCCTCATGCCGTACATTTCAACGCAGCCACCGCCCTTGAAGTCGCCACCGCTTATACTGACAACCCTGACAACCCTGAAAGCGCCGCAGATGGTGTTCCGACCGCTGCCGCTGCCGTCGCCAGGACGTCATCCCGCGCCCTAGTTGCTGGGGAGCAGCCACCGCCACCAGCACCACTACCACCACCACCACCTGCCAGCCAAGTCGCAGGAGAGGATATCGGCAACCTCACGGACCGGATCCGGCGGCGCTCCCGACAACTTCATTGCAGTGCCGTACATATCGCGCCGTACAAGTGTGATACCGACGTCACTGCCACCGCCACCATCACCATCCACGGCGACCAGTCGCGGCAGGCGCCCGTCATCACTTCTCCGGGAACTTCCCTGGACTTCGGCAACCAAGAACCGCTGCCGCCACCACCGCCGCCGCCACCACCGCCGCAGCCGCCGCAGCCGCCGCCATCGGGCCCCGGGGGCAGTGGCGGGCTCCCTGGAGGGCGAACCTGTCCAACCACCCAGGTTAACCAACATTCAGTACTGGACCTCGGTTACAACCACCAGAGCAACCACAACCAATATAACCGCTACGACCAATTATTACAGCCGCAACTGTGCCTGCCAGCGGTGCAGGGCGCTCATGCTCGCGTGCTTCCCCCGCTGCACCCGTACGATGTGGCCATGTATGCCACAAACGGTGTCACCGACAACAACGGTGCAACTAGCAGCGATTTCCGGGCTGGGCACGCAGCTGTGGAAAGGTTGGAATCTGCGGGCTCTGCCGCAACGTTTGAGGCCGGCAGTGCCGAAGCTGGCAAAGCAGCTGCGAGAAGGAGACCCATTAGTGATGGTGGTGGTGGTGGTGGTGGTAGTTATGGCGGTGGAGGTAATGATGGTGGTCGAAGAGGCAGGAGCATGCAGGCCTCTAGCCCCAGCACTGGTGTCGTACTCGACTCTCACCTACGGCAGCCGTACACTGTCCAGTACCATCATCTCCATCAGAGTCACCTCCTCCCCCCCGGGAACGACCGCGGGACTGCTCCGTGGGGCCCCCCCGGGTACGGGCCCCCCGCGGCTGCCCAGCCCGGACAGCCGGCCAACGGCGCGGGTGCCACCGCAGCCGGCGGAACGTCCACACAACTGCCGCCACAGGAGCTGATGAACCGCCAGCATGTGACAGCGCCGCAACTACCTCAACCGCAACACATGCAGCCACCGGGGCAAGGCCCACAGGAGCTAAACTCTTCACCGTCACCGCTGCAGGGAACAACAATATACGACTTGTACGACATGTATATGCGCGACACAGCAACGCACGGCACGGCGTACTCCGCAGAGCCCGTTGAGGATTTCTCCATCCTCACGGGAGAAGGGCCACGGGGCCCGATGGCGGCGGCGGCGGCTGCTGAGGACCAGTTGCACTGCGGGGGGTCACTGGGTGTGCTGCACGCGAATACCCCCGGGGGGGGTGGCGCGAATACCGGGGGTGGCGAGCGGAAGGATTTGGGCTGCAGCAGTGCGGAAATGCCTGAACAGGCTAGCCATATGCCGTACAGCGATACTGCAGCCATTCAGTCCTACCAGCACCCACCACCACCATTGTTGCAGCAGCAGCAGCAGCGGTCCAATCACCACCCCCACCATCCCCAAAACCATCTTCATCCCCCCACACAACAACCTCGCTCCAACCTACAGCGTCAAGACTATCACCGTCGCCCTCTTCACCAGCAGCAGCAATTCCAGCAGCAGCAGCAGCAGCAGCATCAGCAGTTCCAACCGCAGCTGCCGGGTGCTATGGCGGGGGGGGAGTCGCACCTCACTACTGCTACTGCTACTGCGGCTCAAAGTCATGGGCGGTACCCTGCAACCCAATCCAGCGAGAGACTCCGAATGTACGAACAACAAAGACAACAGCGGCAGCATAACCCGCCGCACTACCACCCGCACCAATACCACCACCACCTGCAAAATACCGCCTTCCAGACCTCCGCTGACATCCCAAGCAGCGGTGCTGACACCGCCGGTCGCTTTGGCATGTACGACAGCGTGCATGGACAGGGACTTGGCTTTCCTCAGCCCGCCGTGGAGAGCCAACAGCGGCCCAGCACCTCTGCCGCCGCTGCCTCCCGGTATGCCGACCTGGCGGATCCAATTGAAGGGCACAGTTCTGGAGGGCTGCGGGCGGAGCGCCGGGCGCTGTCGTCGCTCGACTGGCGGGGACCCTTATCGGCGGCTCTCCAAGACAGCGGCGGAGGCTTTCCGGGCGGCGACCAGGGCGGTGTAATGTACGGCAACAGCATGGACGTGTACGGCTTGACGCCAGCACAGCCCAACGAGGATACCGATGATGTCCTGTTGACGTACCTGCACCATGGTGGATCTACCGGCGCCGCAGCTGCGGCCGCCTTTGGTGAAGCCCGCCTGTTGTACCCGCCGACTGCCCCCGACAACCCTTCAGCCGCTGCTGCAGACGGCATGGACTCAGCACCCATGCGGAGCGCCTCCGCACCCGCCACCGTGAGCTCCTTACCAAATCTTACCTTTGCCATCGCCATGGGCGACGGTAATCGCCGCACTGCAGCGTGGGTAGGGGAGGAGGTGCAAGGCCAAGCAGCTGCTGCCCTAGCTGCCGGGGGCAATGTTCAGCCGACCCACGACTTCGGCGGAGCTGGACCTGTGATTGAGGCTGCAGAGAGGATCAGCATAAAGGGCCAAGGCAAACCGCGTCGTGGTGGGGCGGTGGCGGAGGTGGTTGCAACACCGTTGCCAGCAGCGCCACATGCGCCGCCGCTGCACGCAACACTACTCGGGCCGCAAGGGGCAGCGGAGGCGGGGGCGGCAGGGACGAGCTCACGCGCACCGAAGCGCAGCGCCGCTATGGCGGCCCTAGCAAAGTTTCACAGCTCGCGGCAGGGTCGCTCGTCCAGCGGCGACAGCCGCTCGGTGGCGGCGGCGGCGGAGGACAGCCACGGTGGCGGTGATGCTGACGGCCAACAGGAAGGGGGCGGGGAGGAGGGGAACGGCAAGCGGCGGTCATCCCGGTTTCGAGGGGTAACGAAGCACCGCCGCAGCGGCAGGTGAGGAGACAATGGCTCCCAGGGCGACTCCCTGGCTTCTTGCATCGTTATCTCCGTCAAACTTCAACATCAATAGAAAGTGCAGCAGCACCGGGCGCATCTGTGTATGCAAGTACTGGCAGGGATCAGGTGTTCATCAGGTACTGCAGTACTGCAGTACTTGCTCACTATCGTATCCGCACCACCCAGCACCTATTGCACATGTGCCGTACGTACGTGACTTTGCCAGGTGGGAGGCGCACATCTGGGTGAAGGAGATCGGCCGTCAGGTTTACCTGGGCGGCTACGAGGAGGAGGTGCACGCGGCGGAGGCGTACGACGTGGCGGTGCTGAAGTGCAAGGGAACCAAAGTGCGGCCCCGCCACCACCCCAGCAAAGTCGCTGATGTACCTGATGTTGCTTCCAGAGAACAGTATTTTCTAGTAGCCCGTAGTGGAGGATTCTTGTTGATGCGTCTGATATGAGAAACCCTTAAAGCCAGATACCGCAAACACGGATTGTCAGCTTCAGTCTGCACAAAATGACATTACGACATAGTAGGTTAACAGTCCCCCCTGTCCAACCCCGTCATCTCTCCCCATTCGCCAATTAAACTGACCTCCTCTCCGGACGCCTTTTCCCTTGACCCGTCCTGCCCGTACGCCCCGGCAGGGAGTGCGCACGAACTTCCCGATCAGCCAGTACCAGGGCCTGCTTCCGTCCCTGAAGGACATCGAACTGGAGGACCTTATCATGGCCGTTCGGCGCCAAAGTCAGGTAGGTTGAAAGAGCTCATTATGCTGTTGTGGACATCAATCATTACGTGCGTAGCTAGTAATTGGCCAATAGTGTGTTTCCTGGTTAAACCACCGAGAAACAAGGGAGCCAAGCCAGCTGGCTCCTTGTACTTCATCATCTTGTGCCGTACTGACCGGTGTCGTACAATGATGCACTCTATTGGCCACATTGCCATGTGGATGCAGGGCTTCAGCCGCGGTAGTTCCACGTACAGGGGGGTCACTGCGCATCTGTCGGGGCGCTGGGAGGCGCGTATCGGCATCCCTGGAAGCAAGCACATCTACCTGGGGCTGTTCGAGAGCGAACGTGACGCCGCGGCCTCGTACGACAGGTCGCTGCTGCGGCTGCGTGGCTCTTCCGCTGCGACGAACTTCCCCCTCTCCGATTACCGCCGAGAGCTTGCGGAGTACCACAGCTACCAGCAGGTGCGCAGTATGGTTTCGTCAACAGGCCAACTGTGACAGCTCTTTGCGTTGCTGAAGTTCGTTCATCCAACTTTGCGTGCTGCTGTTGGCGCACATGTGCTCCACGCAGGCACAGGCTTCAGCAGGTAGTAGTGTTTCTTTGTTATTTCTTGCTCATCTCCAGGTCAGGTTCAGGAGTACATCGCCATCCATGGGGCGCCTCTTCACACGCCCCACTGCGCGCGCCACACACTGCCGCGCCATGGCGGATCATCCTCATGTCCGCATCCGCATTATTGTACCGCCGGCACACCCATCCCTGCCGTACATACACATATGCATGCAGGCCGTCTTGCTCCAGGACCAGCGGATGGCCTCCCTCATGAAGCCCGGCCCCGACTACGAGAAGTGGGTCAAGTCCGGGTTCAGTGCCTTCCCCCACATCCAGATGGAGCAGGCGGCTGCGGCCGGGGAGGAAGCCGCCGCGCGAGACCTGGAGCTCAAGCGCTCTTGAGTGCCCAATACTGCGGCCTGAGGGGGCAGCAGCTACTACAACACGTAAAATCACAGTTAGCCCTACCCCTGTGTCTGCGTGCGGCAGAAATGGGCCTTTCGACCAGTATAGGTGATCCACCGGCAGCGTCAAGGTGCAGAGGGCACCGCTGAGCAGAGGGTACCATGGTACAGGATGTGTGTCTGTGTGTCTGTGTGTCTGTGTGTCTGTGTGTCTGTGTGTCTGTGTGTCTGTGTGTCTGTGTGTCTGTGTGTCTGTGTGTCTGTGTGTCTGTGTGTCTGTGTGTCTGTGTGTCTGTGTGTCTGTGTGTCTGTGTGTCTGTGTGTCTGTGTGTCTGTGTGTCTGTGTGTCTGTGTGTCTGTGTGTCTGTGTGTCTGTGTGTCTGTGTGTCTGTGTGTCTGTGTGTCTGTGTGTCTGTGTGTCTGTGTGTCTGTGTGTCTGTGTGTCTGTGTGTCTGTGTGTCTGTGTGTCTGTGTGTCTGTGTGTCTGTGTGTCTGTGTGTCTGTGTGTCTGTGTGTCTGTGTGTCTGTGTGTCTGTGTGTCTGTGTGTCTGTGTGTCTGTGTGTCTGTGTGTCTGTGTGTCTGTGTGTCTGTGTGTCTGTTACAAATATCTGACCGGACATGACACGGGCCAGAGGCTGCTGCCCAGCCCCAACGGAAGGAGCGCCTAAGCTCTCTCCCGTGGACGGGGGAGGGGCGCGAGGGGACTCTGCCCCCTCCTAAGCAGCCGAGAGCTGCAGGTCCGCTAGCTCCACTCTCCTCCCCCGGAGGGTGGGAGGTGTCGAACTCGCGCACATGTGTGTATGCTTGTATGTGTGTGTATGCTTGTATGTGTGTGTATGCTTGTATGTGTGTGTATGCTTGTATGCTTGTGTATGCTTGTATGTGTGTGTATGTATGTACGTGTGTATACGTGCGCGGCCTCGTGAAAGAGCTTACAGAAGGCTTATCTGGTCAACATGGTCCATACATATCAATTTAGAGGAGGAGGTGGACACATGGCGGAAGCGGTGTAAGCAAGTAGTCGCGCCTTGGCAGTTGTCGTTGGCGGTTTTACCATGAAGTGCGTTGTCCGATATGGGAAGTGAATCATAGTCAGATGATGGCCATAGCAGTATAATCTTTTGCGTTGAACGTTACAGTCTTCGCCACTGCGTACTCAGCTACGTGCGGTCGTTTCTTGGTAACGGGTTGTGTGGTGTGGGGATGTTCGGTTGCCTCGTGTGCGTGCTTGCGTGTAGCATATAAAGCTCTGTAATCCGTCGCAATTGCCGCGATTAGGAACACGCGGTTTATGCGAATAAGGTTAATTTTCGTCGTCGTCATAGTCAAAAGATAGCTACTTGGCATCGCAGTAATGTCACGTTACTGCAGTTGTGGTACTGCCATTGTTGTGGTGGTTAGCGGTTGTTGGTTGTCCCTATGTTGTTAGAGGTTGCCGTTGTTGTCCCGTCGTTGGCGGATTTATTAGGATAGGGTGTTAGTTGTCGCAGCAGGTTCTGATCTTGGCATGGGCTGTCGCTTAACAGCGACCGTTACTAGTTCAGTGCAGCAGTCGTTAAAAGTCGTTAGCAGCAGTTGTCAGCAGCAGTTAGGGGTTCACGATTCGCGGTGTGCGTGTGCAAATATAAAAGCAGCTTAGGTCATCGACGTTAGCTGGCAATTTATCGATCGTTCCTCTTTGCCTGTTGACAACATTGACCTTAAGGTGGCTGGTGTCGATAGTCGGTAGTTGGCGTCTGGATGTTGGTAGTTGGTTGTTGCAGTTGGTTGTTATTGCGACTGTCGATAGTCGGTAGTTGGCGTCTGGATGTTGGTAGTTGGTTGTTACATTTGGTTGTTATGGCGACGACGGGTGATAAATGGGCTGAAGTACTTGCGTAGGGAGGTGGCGACTGTGGTGGTGGTGGTGGTGGTGGTGGTGGTTGCGGCGAGCGGCTCGATGCTTGTTCGCCTATGTGGCCCACATTGCGGCCGCCTCATCGCACGAGGTTGGTCTCCAGACACCGCATCAGCCTGCTTTATTTACCACTTGCCGCCCTATTACCTTGCTTGTCGCAGCGGAAGTAGTAGTGCAAGACGATAGTTTCAAAGCTTGATCGCATAGCCAGGCGCCTTGATGTCTCTGAGAGCTCTCTTGAGGTAGTTTGCGTCGGGATTTGCTACTGGTTGTTAGATAGGTAGGCCAGGCTCAATAATAAATGGAGCTGCCGCAGCAGCAGGTACGGCAGTCGTACCTGGCACGGACTCAGCAGCGGGCGATACGATTCTCATAAGGGATGCTGAAGGATCCGCAACTCGTTTAAGATTGCGTTCTTCGGTTTGCCTTTTGAGGGTTATAGAGTATTTAACTTATACAAGCTGTTGCTTTGGGAGCGCTGTAATCAATTCCAGTAGCCCTTGCTTGCTTCATTATCATCGCATGTCGATGCCTCTCCATTTCAATTCCCTTAATTGCGTACATACTTCCTTTCCTTAATCAGCCCTGCACCGGAGCGCGCTTCGAATTTTAGAGCTAAATCGCGCGCGCGAAAGAGATAATTGTATATATGTGTCGCGTGCGTGATGGTGCATGCCAGGCGGCCTTGTGCATACACTAGTTCGCCGTTCTTCAAGCAGCAGCTCCCGGCGGTATCACGTAGTACCGTAACACCGGTCCCCGGTTTCTTCCGTGCGGTATACCTCGTTGGGCGCGTCGGGTGGGGGTGCTTCAGCCAGGGCGAAATGCTCCCAGCTACATTGAAAATCGTTTGAGGAGATTCTTAGGCTCCCCAGGGGGAGAGAGCCTCGGTACAAATGGCCCTCCCCAACGACAGAGGTCCCGACGGCTTGGGGACGCAGCCATACCTCTACACCTCGCTCTTCGTCGCTTCCCCTCCTGGGCCCTTCGCCCTGCTGGCTACCTGCATGGCGCGACAATGTCCGTGGCTTTTAGGCGTATAGGTATATTGCCTTGGGCCTTCGGCTCGTATGGATAGTTTTACAGGTGTGGGGTCACGCACCCCCAACCATGTAACACACATACACACATAAGCGATAAACTAAACGAAAGCTCTCGACCGATGACCGGCAGTTGCAGACACTTGGAAAGTCAAACATGCTAAACAGGCAACAATGCGCTAAAACGACAAGTCGGGTGAAAAAGGGCGGGCCCCCCCTGCATCCGTACAGGCCGGTAGCTAGCGCGGCACGTGTGACAATTAATGGGTAGTGTCGACGCGGTGGGAGATGTGCTTTGTTGCAGCAGTGCTGATGGTGTGAGAGCTAAGCTTGCACCGGCGGAATCGTCAGCACCGCCTGCGGGCTCCACGCGAATCGCATCCATCCCGGGTGCATGCCGCATGGACAGTGCGGCAGACCGCAAGTCGGAATGCCCGTGCGGGCAAATGGTAACACAAGCTGGGTGTTCAAGTTATCATACGCTGTCATCTCGGAAATCAATGATGAGATACACGGCACCTTTTTGAGATGAAATTTAGCGCGAGAGGCGTTGATGTGACTTTGGCCTCGGTCAATTGCGGCAGCCAAACTTGTTTGTGCTCATACGATTTTTGTTGGCTACATGCGAGATACCTTGCAATAAAGAATGCTGTATAGTACCTGTAACGCGTTTCAGCCGGGCGAGATATTATGTTTGGTCCGTTACACACACACGAACACACACACACACACACACACACACACACACACACACACACGCACACACATACACACACACACACACACACACACACACGGACATGGGCAATCCTACAGGTCGGGGCCCCCCTGGGCGCTTCGCGCTGGGGCCCCGCCCAATGAAAAGGGCGCCAGCCGGTAGTCTGCTGCCTGTTTAAGCTATGACTGTTCACCTACTCCAACCGCAGCTGGGGCCGCGAGGATGAGTGTGACCTTGTTCGCTTTCCCTTAATTGGATCCATTATTAAATGAAAATTGGGCTTTGCTAAGTAGTTTTGCTGAGACCTGAGGCCGTTCGTTCGCCGCCCCAGCAGACACGCTGGGGCAACTAGCCATGGTGGCAGTTTTATTAACTAAACTGCATTCAGGTTTGCAGCCGCACCCGCAATAAAGCTATTGACTCCCTCGCAGACTAGACACAGATAGAACCGGACGTAAATCTTTGTTCACAGACGTACGACCAAGTACTTCACGTCCATACTAATAATGATGGACGGAGGATGCCTAAATGCATACGGGCGGGCACTCACTCCTCATTCGCAAATAACGTCATTGTTGTAAGCATCTGCGTGTCGGCTGTGTGCATGATTCCGCGTTACGTCCGTTTCGTCACATGAACCTCCCAACATCTCGGGCCTTATGAGCTCGGGTCCTTTATATCCTCCTAGGCCCCCATGTAGATCAACCATGTAGAATCATCAACTTTGCCAAGTGTGACGAAGACGGTCTCTCATGCGGCCGGTGGCGACCGCCCTGGCTTACCGGGCTTACAAGCAAAGATACCCCTTCGGCTCGTATGGGTAGTCTTAGAGGTATGGGGTCACGCACCCCCAACCATGTAACACACACACACAAAGATACGAGT